AGAGGTTAGGCCTGTCAAAACCACTCTGTTCATTTAGCGCCTAACAAAGTGGGCACTGTCAGCCTGTTCCGTTTAATAAACTTAAGATTTTTCCTTTTTGTCGACGTCCAACCAACATTTTTTCACAACCCGGTGACCCCGACAATATCCTTGAATGCACGAAAGTTTTCAAAATGAACTCAGGCTGTTGGCGGATGCTTAAAAAGTACAAATTCAAGGCCTTTTAATGTCACTTAATACTTAAATCTGCAGTTCAATTGTCTTAAAAATGCCACAGACACAAATGTTCTTTACAAGTGAAGAATTTTTAATTGGTCTGCCGTCATGGTAAAAATATTTCAGATGTGCATACAATTTTATCTCCGAATTTCTTCAACTACTTGGTCTTGATTAATTTTACCCTACTCCGTGATTAATGAAGCGGCCTTAAAAAGGTCATTAAGTCGTGAATCGGACTTCCTTTCTCCTGCAGGTTGTAGTTGTATAGAGAAATGACCGAGGAATACATAAATACAGTATTATGGTTACATATCACCACAAGAGGGCGACATATTGCAGTACCTAGTTATTCTCCAGTGTCCCAAACAATGTCCAGATATTGCCTTTACTCTGCTGTCTTCGGGCACAAATGTTAAACAAATGTTCATCTCGTCCTCTTTTCTCAAATTGTTTCAGTGCTGGCGGTGGGTCAAAGGTTGGAGGCAGGCGAGTGGTGACCTCACAGAGAGGCCAGAGTGACATCTGACCCCTAACTGGGCGTGCGGTCCAACCCTGGAGGATACAGCTCAACAATAGCCAGGCACGTGCCTTGGCCTGGTCACCATGGTAACAAAGGACCTTTTGGCATGAAGGGGGGAAAGAGGGTGTGGGGTGGGGTGTATCGGTCGTAGCTGTCCCTTCATTGTGATCGGTGTTAACCATCTGCTGCCAATTGACGTGGATGCGTAGGACACATCCTCGCCACCATTGAAGTGGCTGACTGGGTAATCTCTGCAGGCAACTGTGAAGGTGCTTTTTATTCTCACAATCACCTGGAGAGATTCTGCAGTTTGTCTCACAATTGTGGCTTGATCGTCGTCATCACTCTGTCGAGATCGCACCGCGCAAAACCTTTAGCCAGCACGCGCTAATGGAGGATTATTAAATGCAGGCAGACAACAACAGAGTTGCTACAGAGCTGCACTCAATCAATGGGTGTCCTTTCTGAGATTTATTTTATTATCCAGTCAGATTCCAGCTTTTGTGTCGCAATGTCAATTTAATCTGCCTAAGGCCTCCACTATCAGTAGTGCTGCTGATATGATTTAGACTATATTCGGAAAACATGCAAGGATCTGCATACATTAAACGGACCATGATCATGCTCAACTCAGCCATTTCTGAGCATTCGTGTTCATTCCTCGTCTCTATGCAACAGCTCCAAGATCCAAGAAACCCACGGGGTCCTCACTTTTAAATGTCACAAAGTGAGGAGCCACCCGGTGCCACTCCCACTTTCTCAAAGCAGCCACCGGTTAAATGCGTTCATTTTTACACCGAAGTTGGTGAAAAGTGGCCCCTTTCACACAGTGGGTCCCATTCACTTGAATGCGAGGTCTCCAGCCTCCACAGTGGAGCGTCGCTGCTTTCCCAGCCCGACGATTGTGGCTCCCACCTCGGGGATGGCGGTTTTGGGCTGCCCCCAGAGTAGACAACGAGCCGCTGACGGAGGTGCGGCCAAATAAATGACCTTGGAATGGCTTGCAGTTGATGGTAGTAATGGAAAAGTGGGCATGTTTAGTGATAAGTGTTCATGACTATTTTGTGGATAGTGTGCGCAGCAACCAGCTTTAGGGCGACGTCAGGAAACGGGTGCGCCAGCCTCACGGGGAGAGAGGCGGGCTTCTCATGAACCAGGCGTCTAACTTTGTACATCCGCGTTAGAAAAATAGCCACCAAAGAAACTCAAATTTCATAAGAAATTAGATCGCTTTTGTGCCTAAAGTAATATATAATTCTATATAATATGCCAAAAGTTAACTGTGGGATGCCTCATATAGCATGATGTGGACCCTTTAATGCCCCGCCCAAATGGAGTTGTTTAGCTTAACATCCAACTACATCTATGATAAATCACGAGACAAAAGTATATTCATTGTGTTATTAACTGCTATATCAGCCTTCATTGAAGAGAGACAAAATGCTGGTTTCAATGTCACTGAAAACATTTCTTTTATAAAATGAAGGAAACTCATTGAAGAGACTTCTCATTGTGCTAGCATGTGTGCAACGGTTTGACCACCTCAGATTTTCATTCCTCTTACACGATGGCGACTGAATGATTGCGAACAGGACACCAAAGGCACTTTATAGTGACATTTATCATTTGCATTAGCATAGCTAAAATGGTTCAAACAAAGGACGCAAGATGGCCCCGAATGGCCCATTCGGAGCCCAGTGGGTAAAACAGGGCTGCGTTTTTCCCTCCTCAAGGCTCCTGCTTCTCCCGTTTCCCCTTTTGCCTCCTCTTGTGTTACCCCACTGTCTCGTCGCGCCCCCGTCCACATCTATTCTGCCGTGTTTTGGTGAAATCTCAGCTGGCAACTGTGAGTCGTTCACTTGCTCCTCTCACAATGGCCTCTGGGATTATGCTAAACGCGGTGCCTCAGCCCCTGGCTCTCCCGTGCCCATCGACCGGCATCAACGACGCCCTTTTTGGGAGGGCGCGCGGCGAGGAGGCCGGGCGCCTTCAATGAAGATGTCACTGCGATTACACAAGAGCCTCTCACCCGGGACCCGTCTGCGCTTCCTCGCCACCCTCCTTCTGCACTTTTTGGTGTTAAAAAAACAACAAAAAAATCTTTTTGAAGCACAGCCTCCTTTCATAATGGATGCCTCTTCTCGGATTTGCATGCACTCACTTTCCAGATGCTTGCGCTGCCATCTTTACTTACAGTGATGTGTACTGTACACTCGGCCACATTTTCCCATGTCCATTAAAGCGCCCAATAATTGCCTTACCATAATAATAAGAGGTGGTCGGAGGAGCCAAAAATTATACTGAAGTCCGAGTACTGGTACTTTAAAATCGCGGTTCTCAAAATATGGAAGCCCCAAATTGGGTGTGTGTTAAATAGGACACATTGATATTTATTTTTGACTTAGCAAGCCAGAATTGGGCCAACATTTGGGCCGAACACCACTAGTTGAGAACAGTGGTTCGTTTTCCTCTCCTGCACCGCTGATGATGATGATGGGATGAAGGAAGAGCGTTCTGATGCGGATGATACTGCATCAGGAACTGATTGGCCCACTCTCCAAATGCCAACAGTACCTGATGCATTGCCTTCAGCATCGAAAGAAACATCGCTCGCACCCGCTTACGGACCACCTGTAACTTGACAGTTCAGCTGGGTGACCCAGGAACTTGGGAGTTGGCGCTTCGTAGAGACCAAAGTAGTGCTTTGAGATAAGAGTTTAACGGAATGGAAGTGACATGAATCCATTCTAGCCTCTCAAAAAAATGTAGCACTGTAATGTGGGATTTGAAGTTTGAAACTTGAAGTTTAATACTTGAGACAGATTAATGACTTTGTTGGACTTCTGAAACACTACCAACCATTCATTTGTAATCATAGCGGAGGTGATTGTATCTACTTTTGTCCGTGTACTGCCAACTCAAATAAACATTTAAGCAAGAGCCTATTTGTTTGGGTCTCTCTCTCTCTCTCTCTCTCTCTCTCTCTCTCTCTCTCTCCCCCCCCCCACATTGACAAGCAGGAAGTGACGTCATCACAGCAGATGTTCCTCAAGTAAACATCCCCAAAGCTGCTGACGCATCATTGGCTTTGACCACCTGCTGACCATAGCATGCCTCTCACGGGAGAAGGTCGGCATTTGCAAGACACAAGCCCCCTCCAAAGATGATTGAGGAATATTAAAAAGGTCAATCATTATTTTAGTAAAATGGAGTGAGTGCCAGAGTGCAAAGATTTGATATTGCGGCAGTGACAGTTTTGCTTAATCAAATGTTAACATACTGGAAGGCAATCACTGATTAATTCTTTCCATGTAAGCCCTCTGCTCTGTGCTGTTGTAACATTAGAGGATGAATGTGTGTGATTGCTACTTTTATATTCTTTCACTCAAATAATCTGTGTAGTTCTGTGAGGGACTAATGTTTCCGTATTAAAAAAAAAATCTATTAATTTTTGGTGTTATTATATCTGAGCTTTATTGGCTTTTTCAATGACAGATCTAAATAAATTGTTGAATTTATATTTGAGGTTCTAATGGGGAGTTGGGAGACTTTAGCTTTGGTAAAGTGAAGAATTTCATTTTCAATGAACCCTTTTTTTTAGGTAATTTTGTATAACCTAATTTAAAAAGTATTATGAAAATCTTTGTCAATGACAAATTATTTGAATTTAATTTTGGTCATTATTGATGAATGAACCCATTGAACAAACAAAAAAGAGTATTTAGGTTTATTTACTTGAACAATTCTTAAAATGTTACTTTTTTCTGACTAAAGAACAACTCTTTAAAAAAGAATTTCATTTTTTTTTCATTAGATAAAATCAACTAATTGAAAAGGCAAAGTGACACGATTTGCAGTTTTTTTAAATAGCCCCACCAAAAAACTTTTTTATGACGCCGTAAAAAGGTCAAAAGGCGTTTCATGTATGCAGTAACACATCGTATCGCTAGAGGACGCCGTCGCAGCCTTTTCCCGGAGCGTTGCTTACATTTGTACGGTTAAAGATTTTTCAATTTATTGTATCGTATTTGTAATCATTTAAAACAAGTATTGAAAGCATGAACCTATGAATTTCACTTTCCAAGGACTAGCAAATCTTTTAAAAAGTGATAAGCCTGTTATGATTGATGATGAATTTCACGTCTGCAGTACCACGAGGAGTCGATAGAGGTTGCCGTTGCAGCCTGTTTCGTGTGCTTCGGTTACAGCCCGGTGAGCGAGACCCAACCTGGCCGGCACAACGCCCCCCGCCTCCCGCCCCCTGCATGTCATCCTCTCACCACAGTCGTGTTCATCCCAAATGCTGCTTTACCCACTCACTATCCACGCAGAACTACACTTAACATCTCCACCGTGTCGGACCTTCGTATTGGCATCGACTTGCGTGAGCTCCCCAGGTAAGCTATCGTCCGATTTTTTTATTTTTCAACCCAGGCAAGTTCTACCAACTCGTGCGTATTTCCGCAAGGTTTTGACGCTGCAATCCTTCATTTTTCGTGGTCACATACCCCCAGGCTCCAGCATCAACATGATATTACAGGAGATGTCAAGACACGTTGAAGACGTCATCATACATGCTATTAAAACTTGACTTCTCTCTCTCTCTTTGTGTCACCCCACAGTGACCGTCAACATGTTGTGGATCTGCATGGGTCTCCTCGCTGCTCTTTTCTCCTGTGCCGTCCCACAGGAGGTTCAGGAGCCAATCTCTTACTCGGTAAGTAAGCAAATAAAGAAAATTTTAATAATCATGAAAGAAATTGTCATTTGGATGGCAGAAAATGAATAACCATCTGAAAGGTTTAAAAAAGATTGCAGAAAATAACATCATAAGTACCTTGAATTACAAGTTGAATTTGTTTGGGGACCAAGGCCATAACTCGGTTAAATTAAGTTGAAACAACACTGGGTTCAAATATACAAAAGTTATAATTTAAAACATATTTAATGATCCAATGTAAATGCATTGCACATAGAAGTAAAAAAAAACCCTGAATAAAAAGAAAATCCAATTTTAAATATTAAGTTAAATACAACTGATCTGTACCTAGATGGCAATTTTTCACATACCACTCCCACCCATTCCATAAATCTGTTCTTGAAACAAAATAAAACACAATAATAATAACAATAATAATAAGTGAGTGTGATGTAAAGAAATCAAGTACCGGTACTTTTCGATAGTCTAATTACTGCATATGGGGACAGGTCAAAAGTCACCTCAACAACAGTGCCCTTGAGCTGTGCGCCTTTGAGGGGCATGGTCAAGTGAGTGACATAGAGGACATTGAAGTACGCTCATTTTTAATTTTGCAGTTGCCATATAATCCTCATATGTAAAAAACAAAGTAATCCTAAAACAAAAACAAATCATATTCCAAAAAATAACAACCAACAATTCTGCTGTTTAAACTAATTAGAACAGACTGAATTAAAAAAAATATATATAATGACAACTCCACAGCAATGACTACCTTGTGATTGTTTCGATTTATGTCATTAATATGACTGTGTTTCCTTCACAGTGCACTGAAGGTTACGAGTATGACAGTGTTAGTGAGCAGTGCAAAGGTAAGACTGGTCGACAAAATATTATTTTAATTTTCACATTACTTTTTTTTTTCAGAGACAGGTTAAATAATAATCAAGTTCTTGGAGAGTTATGTAAGATCAAAACACGGCATGTACCATTTGGTAATTGCGCTTCTGCTAAACCACACCGCCAAAATATAGTCCGGCCAATCACAACAAAGCACAGGGTCTGGCACGTTCCTCTTCGCTCAATTTAATTGTAGAGTTTACCATTTTCCATGCGTTATGTGTTATGCTTTGGATCATGCTTTAAATGCTTTTCTAACTTCTTAATAGTAATTGCCATATTTTGGTAAAACATCTGAAGTGAAACCTGAAGATCTACACTTTGGTAATATATGATTGATTTGGTATGCTTTGGATCATGGTTTCAAAATGGCTGTAATTACTCTACATTTCAGTTGTAGAAATATTATGTGGTATGCCTTGGATTGTGCTTCCAAACTGGAAGTAATTCCCATATGGTAAATGAAACATTTTTGTGGAAACTCTTCGATGACTGAAGTGTAGACTTCAGTACTAGACCCATGATGTGCTATGCTTTGGATCACAGCTTCAAAATGCCTGGAATTAGTTCATGGTAAATCCGTCTATTATCGTGTAATCTCTTAAATACATTACAGCCACACATGCCCGTGCAATGTTTGGTACATATGTGGTATACTTTGGATCTTGGTGAACAAAAGTGGCTGTAACTCTTGAAAGCTAAATGATATATTTTTATGAAACGTCTTAAATGAAAGCGTAGAGTCCATCTGATCATATTACTAAAGTTATTCAATTGTAACGAACAGTCCGGTGCACTTACCGCCCTTTTGTCGTCCTCATTTAGACATCGACGAGTGCGCCTTGCTAGATGACGCCTGCAAAGGAGGCATGCTGTGCATCAACAACTACGGCGGTTACCTGTGCCTTCCCAAGAGCGCCCACATCTTCATCACCAAGGAGGGTGAGGAGGTGCCCCCTCAAGAGCCCACCGCAGCGCCCAGTCAGCCACAGCTCCTTCGGTTGTTCCCCAGGCGGGTCACTCACACCGGTCTGACGACGGTCCGCTGCTCCGCTGGCTTCATGGCCGACAACCAGAACATCTGCCGAGGTAAGAGCATGTTTCTGGAAATGCAAAATTAAGTGTTGTGGTCGAAAGTGCTTGGCCGTCCGTCTTGAAAGTGTCTGTGGAGCATATCCGAGCCAAGTTGATCAGTGAGCGAACCTTGGTGTAGGTGTGGTACAGAGAATTACACATTTCTTTCTTAAAACTCGTTTTTATTCTTTGGCTTTTGACTCATGCGGAGACTTGATTTTTAGTTTGACTGTATACAGCGGTGGTTGTTTTAAAGCACTCTATAAATACACTTCGGTTGAGTAAAACAACGTCACAGCTTAGCCTTTCGGCCACTAAATTAATATTAACGCTAACATATTGGGAAATGCCATACGTACGGGCAAAGTGTTAGTAGCATCTGCGTGGCGGTGTTCTAACCCTTTCAAGCAATTTTAACACAAGCATGGCAGCAGCACATGTAGACAGACAATACAACAGTACTCAGTGATATATTCTTTATCCTCTGTGCAGAATGACTCATTTTGCTGTCGCAGAATTGTCTCCATGTATGTCCATATGTCTGTATTACACCCCCCCCCACCCCCGATCCCCCAAGAGGCCACGGTGTGTTCACCAGAATAAGCAGCACAATTTATTATAGAGTGATATTTTCCTCATTAAAAACCACACACAAACACACACACACACACACACACACACACACACACACACACACACACACACACACACACACACGACAGCATTTTGTCTCTGAGAGCATTTGCATTCATTTTGATGGGTAAAGATGTATTAGTATGTGTTAGTAAGTCATTAAATGTCATTTTCCATCCTACGTCCCATTCAAACATTGCACCCTTTGATCGAATTGACTGGCAGCCAAGGTGGCTTACAGCATCTCGCTTGCCGATTGGAATCCTCCATTACCGACATCTGCGTAGCACCTCCGTACTCGACACGCTTCAAAAATATTTGGCCTGAAGGGGCTCCTTATCTCCCAAAATATCATCAGTATGCCTCTGTTGCACTTGGCCAAATACAGCAGGAGCGTGGGCCGCTGGTGGATAATTACTTGTTAATGACTTGAGCGCTCCAGAGGTGAAGTGTTCATCCATCTGCTTGACACATGCACACGTGCGCGCCAGATGTGTTGCAAGCTTGTGTGATGTCACGTTTTATAAAACTTGTGGCATGATGTTTTTGGCGTCACCTCAGAAAGCAAACGAACGTGTTGAGCTCCCTGACTCTGAAGGGGGGATCAAACTCAATGACCATTCTGCTTCTAAATATCGTGGAAACGCCAAAGTCTTTAATATTTGTGGCAGTTTGAAAAAAATGGGTTCGTTGAAATGGATTTATTCTCCTTTTTTTTTAATAATTTTTACTCATTTTGGGTATTTTGGTCAAGGTGGAGGGAATTATGAACAGTTCCATGTGAGGCAAGGGAGCTTTATTGATATAGCGCATTTCATTCACAAGTCAACTCAATGTGCTTCACATTATTAAAAGCATTTACAACCAAGAGTTCAAGGCATTTGAAAGCAAAGTAAAAAAGTAAAGGAGCTTACTAACATTATTCCCCCCCAAAAATGTACAAGTCCTTCATGCTTCTGCTAGAACGCAAAAAACATGCCAGGAAAAGCCTACTAGAACAGATGAACCTTATTTGGGGTTAATCAAAGGCACTTTAAATGGTGGCGGTTGTGTGCCAGTTCCTATTTAACATGAGCTCGAATGAGATTGGTTCACGCTGCACACAGTCCCATCGCCTGTCATAAAGGGTGTATGCATTTATGCAACCAAATTACATCGGTTCTTTGTTTTTACTTCCCCTCTCCAAAATATCTAAAATAACTAAATAAATACAGTTTTGAGCTGTTAATGTTATCGGTGACCTTAACAATTTGTTATTTTGGTCTAAAGTAACAGATTTTTTAGTTAAAATTTTTTTTTTTTTTAAACAATTTTTTTACACGTAAGGCAACGATCCGTGTGATGGTATTCCTCATGTGTGTATTTTTTGTGAATCGTAAGCTTTTATTGGGGCGTGCATGGCAGCACTCACTGCTGTTGAGTCAAAGCAGGAGTGCAACGTCAGGCCGGGCAGAAGAGAAAAAAAAACAAAAAAAGAAAAGCGAAGGAAACATGAAAGTGTGGTAGCAAAGCGCCCAACCGCAGAAAGGCTCGTAATAACGTCACGGCTTTTACGGGCCGCCTCACTTGTTTTCCGGTGACTCCATGTCGTGTGTGTGTGTGTGTGTGTGTGTGTGTGTGTGTGTGTGTGTGTGTGTGTGCGTGTGTGCATGTGTGCGTGTGTGTGTGGCAAGTAAACCCGAGAGATCAGCGAAACGCTCGACGGGGAAAAGAACACTGCCAATTTTCCACATGTTGGACTGCCAAAGGAGTGTTTTGAACAGAAAAATGATGATATGACAAGAAAGAGCCGCGTTGGGAAGTACAAATACTTTATGAGGTATCTGTGCTTTTACTTGAGTCTTCATTATTTTGCTATTACTCCCCACATGTGAACACAAATGTCTGTACTTTCTACGTCTTACTTTGTCAAAATAGATTTGATATATGTCACGGTGTTGTAAGCCGTGAAGCAACCGACAGTTGAACAAAAACTGTTGAGCAACACTCACCTAGACAGACAATACGATACTCACAAGGGTATGTAGTCTTTATCCTCTGCAAAGATACTAATTTGACTGAGGAGCTGAGACCGTCATGCAAATTCATATGTGTGTATTATACTGCCCCCAGGTGGCCAAGACTCACGCATCAGAAGGAGCAGCGCAATGCCTGTGTAATTGTAGCCCAAAATGGGGCAAAAACGTTCTTTACGTTCTATTTTAATTATGCCATTACGATATGTTTTTGTCAAGTAAAATGTAAAAGAGTGCTTTTCTTGAAAGTCAAAGGCTCCTGTTCTGTCTCCTGGCTGGGCCTTTTCCCCTTCCCAAAGAAACTTTCCAAAGACGTTTGTTTTTCACTCGTTCATTCATTTTAGCGGTAAGCTATCACGTGACGAAACTGAGAATCCGGTAAAAAAAAAAAAAAAAAAAAAAAAAACAGATTCCAAAAATGAATAAAACAGAAGTAATGTAAGTTATTTATTATTTCTGTGCGACTCGGTACCCAATGACCCATGGACCCGGTACCGGTCCGCGGACCGGGGGTTGGGGACCTCCGGATTAAACCACAGCAAGGCAACAATCGAATAGTAGACGGAGGTTGAACATTTTCAAAGAAGTCCGAAGAATTTGCTCAATGAGCATTGCTAGGGGCGCTTTTACCACCCGTTAGGCAACGGACAACTGCGGGGCGGCACATGAAGACAGATAATACGACACTACTCACAAGCATGTATTCATTATCCGCTATGATAAATGACCAAAATGTCTGCCTTTGATTGAGACAGTCATAGAAGTAGCTTCTTTATTTATGAACGATTAGCCTGCAGATATCTTTTGACAAGTAAGGGAAAAAAAAAAAACGCAACCCTTTGTCCTTCATGTTGAACCCATTCGGTTTGTTGTTGTAGTGACACAAATTGGCAGCGACATTTTCAACAGCCACACAAGCTATAAAACTCAAGTGCGAGTGTGACAGCTTAATGATACTTGCATTTCCATGACCTCGCCCGCCCACTAAACACACACACACACACATGCACGCACGCGAGGGAAGATGGCCACAAGTGGCTGGCTGTAAGTTTTATTTACGCTTCTTAAGTCTTATTTCCAGCAGTGGTGAGATCACCCTCTCCCACAAATGAATGTTGTCCATCAAAAGTGGTCTAATTAGTCATTAGCACTGTTGACAAGCGGTTAGCGTGATTATTTTGGGACGCCTTCCAAGACCACCCTCAAAGGCGACTTGGAGTGGCCCATGACAGTACCGCCTGATGCTTTTTTTTTTTTTTTTGCTTTTTACTTCATAGTGCTGTTTTTGAGTCCGGCGGTATCTTCACTGAAAGAGCATTTTAGCTTTAAAAACAAATTTTAAAATTAAAAAGAGACACATTGGATGAATACCCTCTCAATTAATTTCAGTGGGGAATTTTGTTTTTTTTGCTGAATTCTGTTGGTTTTTGCGACAAATTAAATACATAACGTACCACCGTATACTAAAATCCTGATCATTGATAACACTCATTTGAGCCACACCAATTAATCAATCAACTGACAGCTAATCGAATGATCCAATTAAGAGATAATTTATAATCCATGAATTCTTTAGACATTATAATTTGTTTTTTAAATCATGTTTTTTGGGAACTAATTTTGTTTGCCTTTTGTTATGTCTTCCTCGGTTTTTGTTTCCACCTGTTCTCATCAATGTTGATCCCTTACATCAGGGGTCCCCAACCTTTTTTGCCCCACGGACCGGTTTATGTCAGACAAGATTATCACGGACCGGCATTTAAAGTGTGGCGGATAAATACTACAAAATAATATGGTAAGAGCTGCATGAACACTGTGGTGTTTTCTAGAGATAATAATAAACACGAGGAGCGTCTAATCTGGCCGCAACACTCTGATCGCTACGGTAATGTTTAATGCCTTCAAAATACGATACATCGCAAATTCAAAGTGCATGAAAATGTCAACTCACCACAATGCTGAATCAGTGCGAGCCCCGAGCTTGATTTTCTGCAACCGGACGGTCCCATCTCGGGGTAATAGGAGACAATGACACCAGAAGTGTGTGCTTTACATCGAGTCTACTTCGTAATTTTGTTTTAGTCGCCGTTGCCGCACAAAGCCCCCGCCTCACACAGGTAGCATGTCGGAAATAGCAACAGTGCTATTGTGGCCATCTCAGAGTATTCAGCCATAACTTTAATCCAGTTGTCTCGAACGTACTTTTAAGGCCGCCGTCATTTGCGATCTCCAGCAGTTTTTTTGACTCATTTTGCGAGCTCCCGCGTTTTGTTTTGAAGTAATCGCTCACATGAAGGAGAAGCGTGGCTTGACGTGTGTTAAGCGTAACACAGACGGATGTAACGGAGAATCCGGTAGTTTTTCAAA